GGCGTGGGCCCCCAGTGGGGGCACCGGGTGGCGCGGTCCAGGAAGGCGCGCACTGCTCCCGCGGGGCCCTCCGCCAGCAGCATCGCGGGCTGCCCCGGCGCCAGGAGGGCGCACACGCCGAGGTCGCCGGCCCAGAGGCGCAGGTAGCGCCGCTTGAGGGCGGCCGCCACGTGGTGGAAGCGCACGAAGGCGCGCACGCGGCCCGGGTCGGCGTGGCGGGCCGGGGCGTAGGAGGCGGCGGCCAGCTCGTGCAGCTCCGTGCCGCGGACCCACTCCACCAGGTCGACCAGGTAGCCTGGTGGCTCGACGCCGTCCGCTCGGCCGTGCCGCTCGGCCACGCGGACGTGTGCAGCGCGCGAGACGATCTTGGATGCCTCTCTGCCCAAGTTGCCGCTGGAGGTCACCTCCACGTCCCCGCCGTGCAGCTCCATAGGGGCCAGCCAGGGGTAGCCGGGCGGCAGGTGGACGCTCAGGCTGCACTCCAGGGTCTGCCCATCCCCGTGCCGCCACAGCGGCGCACGTGGGAGGCGGCGTCTGGGGCCCCGGCGTCGGGGGTGGCTCCTCGCCTCAAGCCCGTCCCCCTCCCGCCCCTCTCCCCCTCCCCCTTTCATCGAGCCCCCCCTCGCCTCTCCTCTCTTCCCTTCCCGTTTGACTGCGCTCTGGGTGTGGAAGCACCCCAGAGGACTCCGTCCGCCCTCCCGGGGCCGATGGAGCAGTGGGGTGGCGTGCTGCCTGTCTTGAGGGAGGGCAGCGGGGCCTCCAAGATCGGACCTCCCCTCCCGACCGGAAGCTCGAAGTCTCCTCACCCAGCCCCGCCCTCCCCCCCCCTCTCCCCCTCCACCCTCTCTCCCTCCAACACTGTCTCGTCCACTACCACCCCCTCTCGTCCTCCCCCCCCCCGGTCTCTCGGACCACAGGAGGCCCACTCGGGAGTCTCTTGGCGGTGCCTTGGGGCTCTCCGGGTCCCTGGAAAGGCCCCACGCGCCCCATGGCCACAGCACCGCGGCAGATCCACGGCAAAGTGGCCAAATGCCAGCCAGCGTGGGCCCCAAACATTGCATTGGCAAAATCCGCCATCGTAACTGCACGGAGTGGGCGTGTTAGAATGCTCGTCTTTTGTTTGGTAACTTCTGTAAAGTTTCATAAGGGCATTCCCCTTCGGCCAGGACGCCACCCTCGAAAACTGCCCCCTCTGAAATTGTTTTCTGGCGGTCTGTTCGGCCTCCAGACGGCCAGGACGGCCTCCAAGACGGCTTCCAAGACAGCCAAGACGACGCTCAAACACTCAACATGGTCCAACACAGCTCAAGAGCTTCTCACCAGAGCCTCAAGAAGGCTCAACCTAGCCTACGAGGGCTTCAAAACGGCCCAAGAGGCCCCCAAGACAGCCCGAGAGAGCTCCAAGGGGCCTACCTGGAGAACCCGAGGGGGCCAACACCATGAATGCTCGTTGGGTGTTGAAGGATTTTGAGGCTCTCGCCTGTCCGGGTTTCCGACCACCCAAGATGGGCCAAGAGGCTTCCAAGAGGCATCCAAGATACGGTGAGGGCACTGGATAAGAATTCATTGGATAAGGAATCCAGGATCTGGAAGCTGGTGGAACGCCAACTGAGGCTTGGCCATAGGTAGCGCCGCCGCCCTCATCAGCTAAGGACTCCTCCAGGGTCTGCGGCCTCCTGGGCACATTCCTCAACCAAACCCCACACCGTAGCTCCGAGACTGCCCAAGAGACCCCCAAGAGGGCCCGCCCCCGTCGGCCCAAGAGAGATCGCCCGAAGGGCTTCCAAAGAGGGCCTCAAGACGGCCTTGCAGTGCTCCAAGAGAGCAACAAGACGGCCCAGAGAGGCCTCTTGGGCCGTACGGCGAGGGCATTGGATAAGGAGTCATTGGATAAGGAATCCAGGCGCTGGAAGAAGGTGGATGGGCATCACCGCCGCCCTCATCAGATAAGGACCTTCCAGGTTCTGAAGCCTCCTGGGCACGTTCCTTAACGAGCGCCCCCACCGTATTGGGCGGTCGGAAACCCAAACATGTCATGATGCCAAGCGGCTGAGCCCGCAACCGTCTGGGTGGACCTCGGTTTCGATACAAGCTTGGAGCTTGTGGGTTTGGCCGAGAAGTCTGCGATGCTTTCGATCCATGTGTAAGCACTGAGTGGGCATACTGCATACACACTGCTCCTGAGACCCCACGAGATGCCTTACGGTGTTCAGACAGCGGCTGCCAATACTCCTGTAGTTCTCAGCGTAGGCCGCTAACTGAAGTTTGGCGCAGATCTGAGTGCGGCGTTGTGTGTCCTTTCTGTTCTCCCATGGTGCCCCCCCGCCGCCCCGTGCGTCCTTGCTCAGCTCTCAGGTCGAATGTGTGCTCGCCACACCGTTCGGCAAGCATCGTGCTGGCAATGTGTACCGTAAGCACCGGATTCCATATGTGCTGGCATGATCTCGTCTGGAAGTACGGTGGGTGTATGGGATAAGGAACCATTGGATAATGAGTCAAAGGTCTGGAAGCCGCTGGAGCACCGCTTGGGGCTTGGCCATGGGCGCAGGATATGGAAGGCATCGCCGCCGCCGCCCCCATCAGATAAGGAATCATCCAAGGTCTGAAGCCTCCTGGGCACATTCCTTAACGAACGCCCCGCCGTATGTCTTGGGTGTCAGTTCAACCTTCTGCGTTGGCATCCTGTCTTGGCAACTCGATCAGGGGCGCGCCTGCACAAAAACTCAATATCCTTCAAACACGTAGGCAACAACAATGGCTTGGGCCTCATCGGGCTCTCCTGGAGGGCCTCTTGGAGACTTCTTGGGCCGTCTTGGGGACCTCTCGATCTGTCTTGAGACCGTTATTGGAGCCTCATGGCCTCCAGGGCGACTCAAGGCAGCCAAGATGACGCCAAGATGGCCCAAGGTGGCCCAAGACGGCCTAAAAGGTTCTCAGGAGGGCCTCAAGACAGATCAAGAAGCCCCCGAAAAGGCCCGAGAGATCCCCAAGAGGCCCTCCTGGAGAGCCCGAGGAAGCCAAAACCAGCGAGCTCCCTCAGATGTGTGAGAGATTTAGAGGTTCTCAACCGTTCGGGCTTCCGACCCCCCAGGACGGCCCAAGAAGCCCCCGACGACGACGACAACGACGACAGCGGCGACAGCGGCGACAGTGCGACGACGCGGGGAAGGGGGGGGGGAGGTCTTCCTCGGAGACCCCCCCTGGCAGACCATGACAGAGCATGCAGGCGCTGGCCCTGACGGCGTGCTGGTGTGGCCGCCGCTGCCTCCTCGCGCTACCCGATGTGAGCAGCCGGCGCCTCCACCACGGGTGTTGGCATCGGAGGTGCCCGGACCTGACGCCTCACCCATCGTCCACATGGGCAAGCGCCAGAACCCTTCGAGAACCACATGAGAATCCGAAATGTCGACTCCTGCGGGCATTCCCGGAGCTCATCTTGGAGGCCTTGTTGGCCGTCTTGGAGGACTCTTGGCCCGTCTTAGGCGATCTCAAAGCTGTTTGGGCCCATCTTGGGGGCATCTAGGACCGTCATGGAGACAGCCCAGCCTCGAACCAGGGAAAGTATCGAAACAATGTCGAACGAGCATCGCCTCCCAGGGCCCGACGCGTGGAACCCATCCAGTTTCGGTACTCCCATGGTGCTCGATTTTTTTTTCTGGCGAGCAAGGCTAAAGTAGGTTTAGGTCGGGCATGTCCTCCTACAGGCGGTTTTGGACGAAACAATGAAACATAGTAAAACCATATTCAACAAATGATTACAAACACTAAAAAAAACGTCCCCATACTACTTTTGACTATTGTCGAAAACTCCTCCTGCAGAGGGACAGGCCCGACGTAAAAGTCGACTCGACGCCTGTAGATTGGAGCATCACTCCTCCTGCATGTTGGAACATCATGAGACTCGACGCCTCGACGCGTTGACACCTCGACTCCTCGGCGCCTCTCGACGCCGAGACGCTTCGACGCCTCTTACAGGGGGCGGGAGCTAAAAGGCGGGGAGGGAAGGGGGGGAGGGGGGAAGGAAGAAGGGGGGGGGAGGGGGAGGGGGGGAGGGCAAGCTAGGTGCGCTCGCATCATATCTGACGTCCTGCCCCTCCCTCCCATCCCCTACGATGGCGTGGATATCCTCTCCACTCGCGCAATCGGATGTCGCAGCATGGCATAGCATTCCATGGCATAGCATGGTGTTGAAGATCTCCGCGTAGCATGGCATAACATGGCGTGACGACGCCCCTAAGTGGTGTGGAGGAGAGGATACGGACGGCCATCATTCGACATTAATGTCACAGGACTTGGGAACTCTTGACGACATGCCGCCCAGTTCGGAGACAGGGACTGGATGATGAGAGGAGAGGGAAGGAAGGCGAGGAAGGAATGCAGTGGTACTGGTTAAAGGTTTAGGCCAGCGGAAGAGACGGAAAGGGCGGTAGCGCAGATACAAGAGAGAGAGAGAGAGAGGAGGAGAGGGCGGCTGGGCAGAGCAGAAAACGGATGAGCCGAAAAACCGCATTTCGACCCCCAGCCCTGCAAGCCCCTGCCCACCGTCGCCCGCCCGTCGGGGACATACTGACCCGGGTCAATCCAGACCTGGGTCAATCAGGCCTTACAAAATCCTGCAGGATCCCGCAAGATCCTGCACCCAAACCCGGGTCAACGCGAAGGATCCTGCAAGTTCCTGCAGGATCCTGCACCCAAGCCCAAGTCAATGCGACCCTGGCCCAGCAGGATCCTGCAAGATCCGGCGCTCTGGCTGATCCCCGCGTAGGAGGAGGAGGAGGAGGAAGGAGGAGGAGGAGGAGGAGGAGAGAAGGAGGAGGAGGAGGAGGAGAGGAGGCGAGGAGGAGGAGGAAGGAGAGGAGATGAGGAGGAGGAGGAGGAGGGGAGGAAGAGCAGGGGTGCCTTGACCCCCCTCTCTTCGGGCCCCCGCGCCCGAGCGGAGGGAGGCCCCGCGCCGCCGGCCACCGAGCCCTAAGAGATGGTGCGCCCCGAAAGGCCAAGGCCCACCCCCACCCCCGGACGCGGCGCCTCCCCGGATGCAGGTCGATGGACAGCGCGATGCCCTGGGCGGGGGGCGACAGGCTCGCCAGGCGGGCCTCGGCGCGGCGGCGGGGGGGGATGCTTTTTTCTTTGTTCCAACCCGCCGAGCGTTACGACTGATTTTTTTTTGGAGGGCGACGAGGGAACGAGGGAGAGGAGGAGGAAGACGAGGGGGATGTTTTGTTTGCTGCCCCTGCTGTTGTCTCCTGTTTTTCCTTTCCCCCCCAAAAAAGGGGAGCGGGGGGGAGAAGGGAGAATGGAGGGGAGAACAGGGGAGGAGGGGGAGGAAGGGAGAGGAGGGACCTGCACTAGGCCTGGGGGGGGGCTGCCTACCAGACCGCCCCAACCCAACCCGAAGACCCGAACTTCGGGTCGGGGGGGGGTACGGGCTTCAGATGTGTTTTTGTTCACATGCTCCCCGACCTCCCCCCCCTCCCCACTGTAAGTGGAGCGCAAATCAGGGCTTTCGGGTTGGGTTGGGGTGGTTTGGTGGGTGGTGAGGGGGGAAAGGGAGAACGGAGGGGAGGAAGGGGAGGGCGGGGGACGAGGGGGGGAGGGACCTGCACTAGGCCAGCTCCGCGCAGACCGCCCAGAAGAGGCTGGTGCGGCCCCTCTGGACTCGAGACCGCGGCAGTCCCCAAAGCCCTTGCAAACGGGCCGAAGCCGCCGAAGGACCGAACGGGCCTGCAAGGAGAACGAAGCGAGGGCGGGAACCGTTCAGCAACGAGTGTGGCAAACAAGGGCAAGAAACCTCGAGCATTTCAGTCTCACGGGTCTGTCATGAAGAGCGGCGCCATACCAAGAGCGGGCATGCCCAAGCGACCACACGTCCACCCTCCCGTTGACGCGTGCCCGGCAGAGCTTCGAGCAAATCTCATCATCGGAAGTGGGGAAACTAAAAGGTACCAATACCGCTACTCCCCGCACCTCTCCCGGGGTGCGTTCTGAGCAGGATCTCGAGGCGAATCCAGCAGTGGCGAGGAGAGCTCTCCAGGTCGAGCAGCACCTACAGTCGAAGCCGATAGTAAACATGCACGGTAAGCGATAGGGATGCAAGGGCCGCGGAAGGTCATGCTGACACTTTTCGAGCGGGGCGCGGCCGAACATCCAGGGGTGAAGGGGCACCCTGACACATCCCCATCCTTGCCGAACGGGCGCTGGGACATACCTGGGCCAGAATGCCAGGATGCAAGGGTACAGTGGGGGTCAGTCCACACAAAACATTCCACAAGAAACCCAACCCTGAGACCCCAGGACGTCCATTGATGTCTGGTGTGGGAACGTCACGCTTTCCATCGCAAAACCATCGAAACCCAAGAAACCCAGGGCACCCTGGAGGCAGGCAGGGTGTTTCTTGGCATGGGCCTCCTCTGTACTTCAGATGGGCAGGAGGGCACAGGATGGGACGAAGGGCACAGGACGCCAGGGCAACCTTGGAGCACCACTCGGCCTCCCCAAGGAAGGCCCGAGAAGGCGAAAAGGGGCAAGGGTAGCAGTATGGATACCTTGTCCTCCTCTGAGGAGGGCTGCTTGGCGGCGAGCGAGGGGGGGAAATGAGAAGGAGAAAGCCTTCTCAGAAGGCGGCGAGACTTCTCAGAAGCCCTCGCGCCTCCTGAGAGGTTTTCAGTGTCTCCGGGGAAGGCTTAGAAAGCTCCTCGGGAGGCCAAGGGACTCCCGAGCCTTCTGAGACGGCCCGCCCCTTCTCACCTCCCCCCTCGCTCGCCGCCAAAGGACTGCGGATCGACGCCAGCAGGGGCAAGGGTAGCGGCCTGGAGAGAAACAAGGGTAGCGGTACTGGGGAGACCAAAAGGTACCGATACCGCTACTCCCCGGACCTCTCCCGGAGTGCGTTCGGACCAGGATTTCGAGGCGAATCCAGCAGTGGCGACGAGGGCCGCCCAGGAGGCCCAAAAAGGGGAAAACGGGCGGGGGGTAGAGGTATTGGGTACCTTTTCCTCCTCCGAGGTATGGATACTGTGTCCCCCCTCTGAGTATGAGTGCGGATCGACACCAGGCAAGAGCTCCACAAGACTGTAGGTTTAGGTCGGGCCTGTCCCCCTACAGGGGGATTTTGGACGGAAAAAAGCATTAGTCAAACAGTGCCCAAAAGATGCCCAAAAATACTCAAAAAAATAGCCCCCACTCTTTTTGTTGACTTTTTTCGAATATTCCCCCTGTACAGTCGGGGCCTTGACCTAAGGAACCCCAAATCAGGAACGAGGCCCCTTTTTTCCATAAGTTAACCTTCGATTTCCGATCGAAAACATGAAGAAAAACCTGACGCAAGCTGCGAAACACTGAGGGAACGCGGAGCCCCTCCCCAACGAAAAGAGTTCCTTCTTCAGGGACCTGACTGTATTCTTTGACCATTTTCGAATATCCCCCCTGTAGAGGGACAGGCCCGACTAAACTGTAGGTCACACGGGCGCCGGCGCCCCCGGAGCGGCTGCCGGCGGCCCCCGCCTCGGCGCGCGCCGCGGCGCGCGCCCGGGGGCCCGCGCCGTCGGCCCGCTCGCGGAAAGAGGGCCGGCCTGCGCCCGGGAGCCCGCGAGGGCCTCCGCACGCGGGCCGCCCCCCTACAGTGACGAACCAACAACACACACACCCATACCCATAAGGGGATCGGAGAGGGCTATAGGTACGTGTCGTCGGATGGGGGTCCCCGCTCGAACGGGAGCGTTCCCCAGGGTCCGACAACCCGCACCCATACCCACAGCCAGTGCTCCTCCCAACGACCCCCCTATGGGTATGGGTGCGTGTTGTTCGTTCGTGATACAGGGGGACTTTCGACGAAAAAAACAAATACCCCAAAAATACCCCAAGAAAGTCAAAAAATAATCGGGCTGCCCTTCCGCGGGCCCTGGAAACGACAGGGCCGTTTTTTACCGGTTCCGTTTTGCCGTTTCTTTGTTGCCAGTTCCGACGCCGTTGTTGTTACCGGTTCCGTCGCCGTTGTTTGACCGGCCCCGGCTCCGGCTGTAGCCGTTTTTTGTTTGCTGTTCCCGGTCGCCGTTTTTTTGCAGTTTCCATTTTCACGGGACATTTTTCTGGAAACGGTGACAAAAACGGCCCAGCCGTTTCCGGGGCCCACAAAGGGCTGTCCCCCTGCTCAGAGGCCCCAAAAAAGCTTGAAAGGTAAGCCATGGAAGTGCTCTCAAAAAAAGGGAGCTCCAAGAAAACGCCCAGATGCCATGAGAGATGAGCCATGGAGCTTCGACCAGAAAAGGGAGCTCCAAGAGAACATCCTTCAGTCCATGGAAGATGGTGTCTCGTCTTCAGCTCTCTGGTGGGTATCAGGAGGCAACTACCAGGAGGTCTTCGTCGGCAGGACTAAGGAGGATTCAGCCCCACCATTGGGGGGCTGCTACGCAGGGTTAGGCCGCGGATTCAGCGGGATTAAGCCGGATTGAACGGGTTGAGCCAGAATAAGCGGAATTAATGCGGATGAAGCCGGTTCTCGGACCAAGGCAAATTCAGAATTTGACCTCCCAGGAGTTGTACCCGAATGGATGTAAGCGTCATGATGGTATTTAGCTCAAGGCCCTTGGCCATGCCCATCTTGGGGCTCGCCGACTTTGCGAGGAGGTACCGCGCCTCCTGTGAGCACCGGGTCCGGAGCTTCAGAATGAAGGCCCCCCATGCAGGCAAACACCTCGCATTCAAGCTCTTCGTCCTGATCCTAAGGATCTTCCTGTTGAGGGCCATGATGTAGGTCGACTTGGGCCACTGCTAACTTATGACTTTGTCTTGGAAACAAAGGCGTTCATCAGGAGGGGACTTCACGCTCAGGAGGTCCAACGCCAGGAGCTGCAGACGAATGCCCTTTAACCTCGTGAGGTCCAGCTTCAAGGCGCAGCTTTGACAGCAGCATCGGGCTGCAGTTCGCGTGAGGACCGAGACCGTTGTGGAAGTCTTCCTAGACGTAAGCGAAACGAGCACAGCCCACGGCTGCTGACGTAGGATATGACTGCTAGGGGGGGCGTGCCTACAACCCACGTGCCACCATACGGAGCGACAGCAAAAGAGACGGAGGAATCGTATGGCAAAGGCGTGCCTCGGCCACGAATCGGTTCCCCGATCTACAGCCGAAAACATGATCAAGAACACGATCATTTTAGGAAACCTGGGCCAGCTTTTGGGAAGTTTGGCAAGACAGACCTGGGCCAAG